AAGGAAATAAGCTAATAAAACTTCATTATAATAAAACAAAATTGTATATTGTCAATTTTTATGCATTACAAACACAAAGAATAAGAATTTTTAATTCATAGCTCAACGCATTTTTTATATAAACAGGGTGTTTACATTGTACATTTTCCGCAAACATATTTCCTCTAATTATTATTATTTCTATAATTCTTATAATTATTCTTATAATTTAAGGAATATATAAGAATTATAATTCTTATAATTATTTTTATAATTAATATTATTTCTTCTATGCACTTCAGCAGTCTTGATTGTTTCGACATTTTAATGGGTAAAAACTAACAGTTAGTTAGAAATGAAGTAAAGCGATCCAAATAAAATACAAGCCACTTACTAAAACATTTAGTTTTTGTCACTTTTTCTGACACAAAAATGCCAATCTAAAATTTTTGGTACTTTCTTCTTTCTTGAAGTTTGAATTCACAGTTATTCTGGTTGAACTGACTACGCAAGTCTTTGCAGATATGTGCAACTCATCGAATGCAATACGTTGAACACGCATTGCATCGGTCATTTCTGATCCGATAACCTTCTAAAGCAATAAATTGTTCTCCCGGTCAAATGACCGGTTGTGGTAGAAATAGGTATACGACAAGTATTATTCGAAACTAAGAAAATACAAACAAAAAAAAAAGAATATTAACTGTATATAATTGTAAGAAAAAGTCATGAAGACAAATGTGCAAAAACGATAAGATGATAAGCCCATTTTTGATGCAAAAGTTCTTAAACGGTCATTTGACCGGTTATGATATGTTAAGTGTTAAGGCTGTCCACTCGAACTATTTAGATTGCATCTCAATACGAGAAAATCCAGTCATTAGCTCAAAAGTTATAGGTGAGGTTTTTGCGCACTGTACATGAATTGCATCCATCAAAAACATTGTATAAATAAATAATAGCAGCGATAAAAGAAAGAATTCAAAATGATATGTTCAATGATCAGTGTGCGAGAACAGGATTCAAAAGGAGTCACTCCATGGGCCGGAGTACCTCCTTCAAAATCGAGAAACTTTTCGGTTGTTCCGAACTGTCTTTTCCAAAGTCGATAATAGGCTTCGGATGCTTTTCGACGTAATTCTTCCCCTCTGTTATCGACACCCACTGCCGGACGACGTCTTCATTGATCAGTTTATTCTCGTTTATTTCAGACTCGTGATTGGTTAACGGATGTGCTGGAACATATTCTACATTATCGGATACTTTCGAATTCTTTTCGTGGGGAAATTCAGGAGCCATTTTTTTATAAATAGCAATAGGTTTTTTTCTGTCTTTGGGAGACACAGGAGAGAAAACTGAAGGAATTCTGTAATCAGCCGATGGAGTTTCTTTTGCGAAGTATTCTTTATTGTTGGTATTATTCCCGTCTTGAATTCTCTTGGAATTTGTCACTGTAGGGTAACTCGTGGGCGATTCTTTTTTATTCGAGGGATTCATCATGTATTCTTTTTTCTCAACTGCACTGGAATTTGAGTACTTACCGCCGTATGTCTGTTCGTTCTTTCCAGATACCATCGTTTTATTTATTTTTATTTTTTCAGTTACGTGAACAGGTTCAGACATCGTTGGAACTTTCAATTCTCCCGAAGAAACAGCTGTTTTCGAATTTTGCATTATAATGTGTGGCGTCGATTTCTCTAACTTTCCAGCCTCAGTTAAATTTTCACTTTTAACGTTTCCTACTTTGGAAGCTTTTTCTTCCTTAACTTTGTTCAATACATCTGTCAGATTCATTTTGGTTAAAAAATGTTCCGTCATATCCTGGAGAAAAATGGGATAGTCATTGATATCATCTAAATGTGCTTGATTTCCGTAACCCGGATAAAAATCTAAAGACGATCTCGCCATAGCAGAGTCATCCATAGACGTCCAGTCATCGGTTATTCCGCCCGCAGGACCGAGACCCATCATGTTGAGAAAAGTGCTCATTGTATGGCCTACCGAACCGAACTTTTGAGTCACTTCTGGGCCATGCTCAGACGAATCGGTGAAATCAGCGAATGCATTGTTGATTTCCAAAGCAGCTCCTTTTAATCCTCCGGCGTTGTTAAACAAGGGTGTGTGTTTGGGAATTGATTTGGCATAATGGACAAAGTTAGCAGACGGTAAGAAGCGTTGGTGACCCGCGTTGAAATTCGGAGGAAAAGCCACGGCTTGGGGTTGTCCATAAGACGCAGCTCCAACTGGGAAGGTAGACATGAAATGTTGGTTTGAGTGCTGTGGGTGATAATTCATCGAGTGCTGTAGATGATAATTCATTGAGTGCTGTGGATGATAATTCATGAAAGGGTTTCCCGTGCCATGCTGATAGCGCTGTTGATGGAAGGGTAAGAAGGAAGCGTGGCCGGATGAGGCTGAAGGGAGGATCGATGAAAAGGCGTTCGAAAAAGAATTCCGGACTCTTTCATTCCAGTTAGAAATCATGGGCCGATTAAAAATACCAGTTGGTAAAATGCTTCGTCTTTCAAATAAGCCACGGGATTGGGCAACATCGGGTGAACTGCGTGCTTCCAACCATGATTGGCTGCTTCCAGATGTCGTTTCGGAATGAGGCAATGTTTTGATGGGAACAGCTCTCGGAGTGCTTTCACCAGATTGAATTTTTATGAACAGGACAGATGGATCTGCGGAGCCACCTGGTGTCGAATACTTCAGTCGATCCGAGAGAGGCGAGTAGGTCCTCCAGCGCTGCATTTCTCTCGGGGAGGAATAGTGAAAAGTTTGGCCATCTGATCTCAGTACGTTTAGTAAGAGGAGAACGGACAGGACTTGGACAACGGTGAATGCCAGCATCTGGAATAGATATTTTAAATTTAGAAAACTAGTGATTTTAGATTTAAGCTTCCGTAATTGGAAGTGTGATTTTTAAAGACTTTATTTTTTAGCCTGAATTGAACAGCCGACCCAATTTTGGAAGTGTGGTTATCAGTGTTTAACTCCGTAGCCTTGTAATTTTGAACTCAACCCAGAAGACAAGGGTAATTCTGGATTAAGCATTGAGGCGATTTAGCCTTCGAGGTAAATTCTTTTCGATGGTACTAAACTGCATAGTTGAATTACACGAAGAGGAATACCATAAAAACTTCCCACTGTTAGCCCGACCGCAAAGATTTTAAACCCTGATCCGTCTACCACGAATGATATTTAGCGTTAGCACTGGTCAGCGTGAATTTGTATCGTCCAGCCACCGCAGGGATTCGAATCTCGGCTTATGTCATTGGAAGGTGCTCTATTCCAGCACGGTTATAGAAACCTTATTTCAATTATTTAGGATATTTTTAATGGTAAATTCTTTTTCGCATTAAAACAAAACAGTAAGGAACAGGCGCTTGGGAGTAACGTCAGCTTCTCTATCAGATATCGTCACAAAGATCCTACAAAAACATGCATCGATCGGGATGTTGAGATTTTGCCTTCAACGGGACTCGTATACGGTAAGAACTCCCCCCGTCACAAAGTTTGAGGCCGTCTGCTGCTATGGAAACAAGAATAACGCATTTCAAGGAGGGTAGCTTCTCTTCACTCTAGGGCTAACACAGTAGAACGAAGAAAAAGATTCTCTTTGTTTTGTAGACTCGAGCCAAAACCTGTGATTAAAAATAACGCCACACCCTTACTAGAAATAGTTCTATCTCGTTACCACAGTCACCGCCAAGGGGTACAGACGAATAGCTAGGGGTGTTCTTACTTTAGATAAATTATACAATACCCCAGTCAGGCTAAAAAAGTCGAAAGCTGTATACCCAAGTCATAATTCTTAATGGTCCCATCAAAAATTTTTGATAGTTTTTGTTTGTTTCAGTGCGATTCATGATGGTCCAACATCATTTGATGGTCATCCATCATTTCCCATTACGTGTTCATGGTTTATGATATGCCATCAAACTTCCATCATTCCTTGTTGGAAAATTGAACTTTAATACTATGATGGTTAACCATTAAGTGAAGTTTGACTCGCACAGACCAACAATCCATAATGATCCGTGATAGATCATGATGGTTCTAACTATACATTTCCATGACTGTTTAATAGGAATTCTTGTTGGTTCTCAGGAATATAACATCAAAACAATTTTGATGTTTTTTGTTGGACCATCATAAATCAGTTCCTTCCGAATTCCTTCATTGGAATGATATTCCAACATTTGATTTTTAAGAGACTTGTGAGGAATTAATCTTAGACTATGTCAACCTTCATCTATCAAAAGGTACCTCGTGATGGATTCAAGTTAACATGTCTTACTATTGATTTGGTATTTAATATTTGTAGTGGTAGTTACGCCACAGACTATGATCGAAATTTGTGATGGTTCACCATGAACAAACCATCAAAACAGGTTGCTATCCTTATGTTCGACCATCATAAATCAGTCCGAATTCCTGTATTGAGATGATGGTTACTCATGTAAACTACCATCAAAAAATATAATGGTTCATGATGGAATTAATGATGATTACCATCAAGATTATGTTGGTCCATCAATGGAAAACCATCAAAAATGTTGACTTGGGTAGGATGAGTAATGATTGTAAAACGCCGTGTAAATAAGCATATTTCTTGTTTGAATTCAATGTAAGAGAAGTAAAGACAAGTTGAATTGTAATACAAGTTATTGGATTAGCATTTAAATTTAAGACAAATAATGAATAAATTATTCTTTTAAAAATAAGTTTATCCTAAAATATTTTTTTTTAACTACAATTGTAAACAGTCTAAAAATGTATATATTTACAACTACTCGTCCATTCTAAACATTAGAAATGGTAGGTACTTTATTTACGTCACACTAGAGCATTGGCGATGGTTTGGGAAACTTCTCCGAGGATGTCCGAAGACATGCCATCGCAATTTTGATCCTCTGTAGAAGTGATGGCTTCTCTGCTTTGGTAGCCTGATGACCTGCGCGCGAAGTCAAGCACTTCACGGAAGAACAGTTTAACGAGGACCGATACCGCGCCCCCTTGATCCCATTGCAGGCAGATCAAAGTGGTCACTCACCCGCTTACTGATAGCAGCCAGTGATGCTCGACTTTGGTGTTCTACTAGGAACCGTGTCTGTACGATCAGTCCACTAGGAGATCGCTAAAAATGGTTCAGTATTGAAAAATTTAATAAGAAACTAGCAACCGTGATTACTCAGGAGATAGAGCATTCGCCTTCGAATGAGGGGAATCGGGTTCGAATCCCAGCAATGGATGGTCGATACGAGTTCCGCATCCGGCTCAAACCGACCACAGTGCTGACGTAAAATTTCCTAAGTGGTAAACGGATCATGAGTTAGAGTCCCTTTACCGTCAAGCTAACCGTGAGGGGTTTTCCTCTCCATGTAACGAAATACGGGTTAGTTCCATCAAACAGTCCTGCACGAAGGCAAATTTTTTTCCAATACTTGACCCAGGAGTTCCCTTCTCTTCTGAATTGGGTTCAAAATTAAAAGGCTACGGAGTTGAACATTGTTAGTCTTAAGCCGAAAAAATTGGATCGGCTGCAACGACGGTTATGAAATAAAATGTGATATAAGAATCTAGCAGAATCACTTCCACCCGTGGAATTGTATACACGTACAACTACAGGATTACTTTCTTTTATATATTCATGCATCTTATAATTCGTAGGACTTTAATTTGAAAATAGACATGCGTGGTTATTATGTATCTTTCTACACCGGTGTAATAAATTAAGAGAATTTGCAGACTGGATCGATTATCTCTAGAACTACTGGACCGATTTTAATGAAATTTGATATGTACGTACATTGATACAATACAAAACAAATAAACATTCAGCAATTGTAATACACGTGCATGATCGTGCATAACACTCGTTGGAGTCGGAAGGTATGAAACAGCGGTTGCAGAATAAACAAAAAAAAATATGGGTTAATAGGGGGTATGGTCCCCTCTTACAGATATGCAGACCTTGCAGTGTGATTGATTTCATGCTTGAAATAAGGCAGTTTATGATTTCCTGTGGCAATTGTCCGGAACAGTCCTGTGGCAATTTCATACCCTCCAAACTCCAACAAGTGTTATGCACGATCATGCATGTGTATTACATTTATTGAATGGTTATTTGTTTTGTATTGTATCAATGTATATCAGAATTTCATTAAAATCGGTCCAGCAGTTCTGGAGATAATCGACCAAGTCTGCAAATTCTCTTAATTTATTACACCAGTGTAGATAATTTAAGAATGCACTTGCATCATGTACAAATGATAATTTCCGATGATGGTTACAATTACAACTGATGACCCCAAAACATAATTACCATTTTTAATACAATATGAAAATATTTTCTTCCTTTAAGCTTCAAAACATATTTTTCCTAAATTTAAGAAATTAATTTTTAAAAAATCAGTTTTAGAAAAACATTAAAAGAAAAAAATTATTTCTACAAAATAGTGGTTGTCTCAAATGTAATCGAGTTTTGTCTCAGATTGGAGAATTCTAAGAAAGATTCAGAAATTCATAAGATTAGATTCAGAATTTTCTAAGAAAACACCTAAGAGATTAAGATTTTCTGATAGAAAATTATGGTTAATTACTAATCTATCACTTATTATGCTATTATTTATTTACTAAATTACGTAATTTTTGTATGAAATATTTGTAAAGTTTTTTTTTTCTACGGTGAAGTTATAAATATTTCTTGTAAAATTAATTATTTAGAAAAACTTATGCTTCAAAAAATTTTCAAAGTGTTTCTTTTTTTTTTTTTAAATTCAAAATATTGATTACATTAAAAAAACATTCAGTTGTAAAATAGGAATTTTTTATTATTGCTTCTCAACTGACATATAAAATTTACTTGTTAAACTAATTTACTAAAATAATAAACCAAATTCAAATTAATAAAAGAAAATATTTTTTTCTGCTAAATAACAAATACACTTCTAATGTTGTACTTATTATGTGAACTTGTCAAACACTAAGCAAACACTTGTCAATGAAATCTTTCTTTATTTAATTATTTTTTCGCTTGCGTATTTGAAATCTAATTCTCTTAATAAATATCTACCAATCTGAAATGTGCAGATTCCTGTAATATTTAAACAGGATGTAAACCAACAATCGAGATAAGCAAAACATGTTTAACTTTGCTAGTGCTTAAAATCTTGACAGAACCATTATTAAGTTCAACATATTTGTTTAAATTGTTTATAAAGTCATGACAATAAAATCCACTGTAAATCAATTTCATTAAATTAAAAATCAAATCAATTAGTACAGCGTTTGCTACTTCTTTATATAATCAAGAAAAATCACTCGTTAAACCGAGTAAAGATGTTAGAGGAGTTAAAATAAAAAAAATAATTAAAAGAAAACTAAAGTTAAATGAAAACTTTCATCTACAGACATGATATTATTTGAGCAACAAAATAATACAAAGTTTTACGATCAACTAAATAATAGTTTTACGATCAACTTGATGATTGATTGATCAACTTGATTGAAGGATTTTCTCAACAGTCAAAATAAATTTAAAAAAATAATATTAAGCAGTTGATATTTCTCAAGTGTAGTAAAAACATTAATAAATTTACATAAATATAATTTCACCAGGAAAAAATAATTTTCATCTGAAAAAAAAAATGTCTATAAGCCAGTGATAGAAAGAGAAATGTTAAAAAAATAGAAGATAAATTGAAGCAATGTAGAAAAAAAAAACGTTTTAGAATTTCAACAACATCTGATAATCGTTTGAATAAATTCCCCTATTAGTTAAAATATTCGAAAATATAATAAAATATATTAGATTTTTCCAAGTCCAAGAAATAAAAACAGGGTGCATAGCCAGATTTTTCAACAAAAAATAAGCACTCTTTAAGTACTTTTTAAGCACCCAAGAAATATTTTTAATCACTTTCCAAAAAAAATAAAAAATAATAATAATTAGGATCAGTGTAGTAATAACAATTAGTTTCTTCTATCGCTTAAAATTCTTAATTTATAAACATAAAATCCATAAAATTCAAAAACATTTTCAATAGCATTAGATAAAATAACTAGTTTCTGATAAATATTACTGAGAAAATTCTGAGAATCATGCATTTTTTTTGTAATTTTGAGCAACAATCGACACGGCAAAGAAAAATCTCTTCTTGAAAGATAGAAAATTAGCACTTTTTCAAACCCCGAATAAAAAAAAGCACCTTTAAGCTTTTTAAAAACGCTATGCACACTGTAAACAATATAAATATATATATACACCAGAGCCGGATTATACCTTTCGTAGGCCCTAGGCACAGCCGTTTTGGGGCCCTCCCCTCCTTCCCCCACTCCTCCCCTCTTTTCAAAATATATGCTAAAATTTTCTTGCATATTTTTTTTTACATTTTTATTAATATGGATTTTAATTTACAAATTTGTTTATCGAACTTTATCTGCAATACCGACATACTGCCGATATTGCAGTTGATATCGATAATACCATTATGATTAGTTCGATCGATAACTATGTAAACACTTCACGTCAACAATACAACAACAAACCAGCAAAGAAAACAGTGAAATTGATAGTGAGATTAATTACAAGAAATATTTATACAGTAGAGAACCAATTATCTGGGATGCTCGGGACCATCGCTATCCCGGATGTCTGAATTTCCCAGTTTTCTGGATCGACCAAAAAGTGTCATTAATCGATGTTTTATCGAACCCGAATTACAAGGAAATTACACAAAAATTTGTCAGAATCTGAGATTAAACTAAAAGCGCAAAATTTGGTGAAAATTTACTCATCCGATTTAGAGAAAAACTTTGTAGATGAATTTTTACTATTTTCAAATTTATATGAACATAAATCTGCACAAGAAATGTTGAAGGCTCAAATTAAAGATAAACTTGTGAATACTTTTCCTAACGTTCACATTGCATTAAGAATATATTTGTCGATTCTTGGATCAAATGCAGAAGGAGAAAGATCTTTCTCCAGATTAAAATTGATAAAAAATTATTTGCGTTCAACAATGAATCAAGATCGTTTGGCATCGCTCGCACTTATGTCTATTGAATACGACATTTTGCGTAGTTTGGAATTCGACAGCATAATACAAGATTTCGTTGAATCCAAAAATCGCAAAAAAGTAATATATTAGATCATAAGATTCTGCAAAATAATTTATTACCGAAAAATATTATATTTTTATTTGTATCTTCATAATTTTGTGCAAAATACACTTGTTGTTTTTAAAGCTAAATTATTTTTGTCAACAAATTTTTTTCTCCCAAGTTTTTCGTAGGCCCTAGGCACGTGCCTAGTGTGCCTATAGGTTAATCCGGCCCTGATATACACACAAGGTGAGAGAGAGAGAGAGAGCCGGGGGTGAGATGCTTCCGAGGTCACTGATCTGGTTTACAACTAACGGTTTTCCGATCCTCCACTACCCTACCCTACCCTCTACACATTTCCACAATATGTCGTCCTTTTTTTATATATACACACTATACTCTCAAAGGGACGCTAAAAAAATTTCGAGATAGCAGGTTTTCGAGATAACAAGTTTAGAGCTGAATATGTTCTAAAAAAAATACATTCCAAAATATTATTCCGAAGAATACATTCCAAAATATGACACTAAAAAGTAAAGTCATGAGACATAAGAATAAGTGCTATTAAAAATGTACGCAATGATAGCTGACTACAAGTCTAAATACAACAACGATCACTTTATTTGTAAAAGTAAGACAAAAATAATTATGCATTAAACGAAAACAATCGGCTTACAATGAATTTACATTGTGATTTTTTTTTAATTTAGTGCTGAAAAAAATTCATTTTCTATTTCGAAAAAAATTCGACGTAACAAAGTTTTGAGAAGAAACCCTTTGACATAGAAACTCAAATTAACATTAGGTGGATAGGTAATGCCAAGGAGAAAAATATTATTTTGACATAACAAGGTTTTAGACATTTTGAGGGCATACTGTATATACATAGTCACTACTAACATGGAACTACGTTACACAAAAGAAGAGCAATGCACGATTTAACGAGGATTTATTAAAATTTGGAAGCAAACTCATCAAGCTTATTAGAGATAGAGATTTATGATAAAGTTTTCATAACATTCTATTTGATTTGAAAATTTCTTCTATTTGATTTGAAAATTCTATTTGATTGATTAATTTCGTGGCAGAATTTTTTCGAGCTATTTGCGACAAAACTCTCTAGCACTAATATCTTTCCGCAAGATACTTTTAATAATAACAAAAGAGCTGTGTTTACAAAAATAAACTATATAATATTTTTAATTGAACATGTAATTATTTTTATTCTAATATTGTGGGTGATATTCTTGCAAATTGTTGGGAGAGGGAGACGCATTTCCTTCTTTGCATTTTGTAAATAATCATCCCAGTAAAAAAAATAATTAAAAACCATGAAATCCGTAGTAGTAATTGCCGAAAAAGTGATTGACGACGAAATCACGCGAGTCGGACTCCACAAATGCGTGTTTCGTTTCGTGATTAGGTTGTTGCAATCGTATAAAAATATCGGATTTAAAAATTATGGAGAAACCAATCAGTTATTGAACTGCCGAAAATTCGATAGAGCTACCTTGAAAAGTAAATTTTCAAATGCACGATTCGAATTTTCTATATCGTTTGAAATATATCGAGATTTTTAAAAATCACGTGAAAATCAATATCAATAACTGCCGAAAATACAATCGAAACATTATATCGATTTACGATACTATCGGCGTAAATTGAGAGCGTCAAAAAGTGATTATCTAAATCAGGGGTTTCCAACTTACATGAGGCTGGGGGCCACAATTAAAAACACAAATCAAATGGCGGACTGCAACTTTATCGAAATTTTATGTAGGACTCTTTTATGTTTGAAGGAACATTAAATATTACTGTCAGATTTTTATCAAGCTGTACAAAACAGAAGTATTGAATTACAAATTAAAATAAGAAGTAGATTTTTAAAAATATTTAATTGCATGTTAAAAAATTCGGGCTACAATAACTTTAATGTGCACCTATGTAATAAACAATTAATGTGCAACAGATATCTAATTGTTAAGATATAAAACTTTAGAAAGGTTGGTATTAAAACTTACATAGTAGAACACAAAATGTTCAATGAAAAGATTGAGGTTTGTCTGCTGCAACCACCAGAGAATAGATATTTAAATTTCAAATTTACAAATGTGTGTGTAAATATTTTCGTCCAAAATGAGTGGTTTCAAAAAGTTAAATCGGAGAATTTCTTCGAGAGAATTTCTGATGCACACGTGCTAAATTATATTCACAAAATACAAGAAAAAATGAAGTAAAAAGAGCAACATGCACGATTATTTTTGTATTTGAATAAATATTTTCTTGCATGCAAGACCTGAAAAATAATATTTTTTTTGCACCGTTTGTATTTTAAATTTCACAGAAACGAAGAAATTAGGTTTTTATTAACGAGAGAAGTATTTTAAAACCATGCAGATTTTGTACAAAATTGTCAGCAAAAAAATGACAACTAATATATTTTAGTTCGCGGGCCACAAAAAAAAAAAAGCTTAGCGGGCCGCCAGTTGGAAACCACTGATCTAAATGCATGATTTAAATATTACGTGTAAATTTTTGTAGAAGAGAAAAGTAAAATTGTTTACTTTTCAAAAGAAAAATCTTTCTGCAAGAACTGTTCAACGTTCTACGACAATGTCGCTGCAATTCTGCCACGGGTTATTTGAAACATACTATTTCTTAAGTCCTACCTGATTGCTAAGCGCACTTCTACGCTTCGCTTCTAAAAGCCATCGAAAATTAAATGAAATAAATTTTGGTAATGATGAAAACGTTTAATAGTTAAGATAAAAATGAATAAAATTCTACCTCTTTCAGGAAATATCCGCTTCTTATTGAAGAAGTGTTGTTCCTTTTGCTTGTAACAAAATGCGGTTTCAACTCATCGACGGCGTTTTTCTCATTTCTTCTTCAACGGTGACTCGTCTCAACCAGATCATTAAAATAAAAAAAAGAAACGAAATAGAGGTCACGGTGAGAGAAGCATGCTTGACCCGCTATTGAACTTGATTTCTTCTCGTTCATCTTTTATTTATTTTTGAACATCAAACTCTCTTGCCTCCTAGAAGGTTGAATGACAGGTGGCATCTGGATTTTTTTTTGTTTTTGTGAATTGGTTTTCTAAAAAGAACTGTTATAAACTTGGAATATTGTTATCAACAGAATTTGTTATTCTTGAATTTAATTATTTTATTTTTGGAATAAAATTTTTGATAATGGAATTTTCTTGTAAAAGCACATCATTTTTATAGGTTATTCAACAAAATGCAATTAAAAAAAATATATATATATATATTTTTTAAAAATTGACATACCAAACTCTGTTATAGTGAACATGATTTACAGTGAACTCCCGGATATAGTGAACGAAATGTTCGCTCCCGTGCCTTGCTATACACATATAATATTTTTTGTTTGTATAGTGAAGCAAAAGAAAGAGGAAATTGGATATTATGAATTTTTTTCTGTCTTCGACTAATATTTTTCTTAATTTTTTGGTAATTTTGAAATTTCTACATCAAATACATATTCCAATTTTTTAAACCATCTATTGAATGGAATGTCACCATAAGTATTTTTTCTTGTTAGCTTCTTCTATCTCAGTTTTCCATCCCTAAATTTTTTGTACGCAAGACGAAGAATAAGATAAAAAATAAAAGTTTTTGTTAGTACAAATTGTTTTTTAGTCATTTTTGTCTTTCATTTTATGGGTCATTTATTTAAATAATGTGCAATAATAGGGAGCAGTTCGGAAAAATTAGTCAAAATTGTTTGATATAGTGAACTCCCGGTTATAGTGAACCGAAATTTCGGTCCTTTGAAGGTTCGCTATAGCGGGGTTAGACTATTATTTTATTGAAATTTCGCTTAATTAATTTAAGATAAATACCCGCAATAAAAAAATCGTGGTTACAAATAAGTTACATGTTTCAAAGATCGTTACTGTTTAAAAAAAAAAATGTCCGAATTTTCAGAAACCTAGGGTACTATTTTGGGAACCTCTGCTTTAGTGTTGTTGGTATAATTACATTTTTCAATATTCTAGTATAAAAATGTCACGAGTCTTCTATTATAGTAAAAATTAAAACACTGAGAGAAATCTGACTGACTTTTAAATTTACATTAAATGATTAGAATATACACACGGCGTAATTTCGGTCCTTTGAAGGTCAGAAGTACAACAGAATCATCAGAAATACAATTTTATTTTACAGAATAAAACTTACTTTTGGATAGAAAATATATCAAATTCCTAAAATTCCAAGTTACATTTATTCCGACAGAAAAATTACATTATTCTCTGATTCCTTAAAAAGTTTCCCCACATCCTCAGCAAGGTTCTTTTAGATGTTTGGAAAATACTTACGTCGCACTAGAGCACTGGCGACGGTATGGGAAACATCCCTGAGGATGATCCGAAGACATGCCAGCACAATTTTGATCCTCTGCAGAAGGGATGACTCCTCTGACTAGGTAGCCTGACGACCTGCGCGCGAAGGCGAGCAATTTACGGTAGAGCAGTTTAACGAGGACCAATACCGTTCAGCCTCGGTCCCTATGCAGGCTGATCAAAGTGGTCACCCACCCGCTTACTGACCGCAGCCAGTGATGCTTGACTTCGGTTTTCTACTAGGAACCGTGTTTTTACGATCAGTCCACTGCGACAGCTGGCCAGTTGAACAGTTATTTTAAAATTTGTGGTCAGTTTTTTAAAAATTAAAAATTTTAAGCGATTGGAAGAACTGATATATTATTAACATCTCTTTCTAAGGATTTTCAAACTATCATAAACTTTACAAGTTTCATTTCCAAAATTAAGAAAAATTTTAAAGAAATTGTGTAGTAGCATACCTGCCAACATTGGGCTACTAGTAAAGTTTTGATACATCATGCATAATCATGTTAGTCCAAAAAAGAAATTCAAAATCGGAAACAATATAAGCACTTACATTTAGCGAAGTAAAAAATATGTATATAAATCTTAATCTGAAGAACATTTTTTAAAACCATTATTTATAATTGCTTAAATTATTTTATAACCGTTGTTAAACAGCCAACCCAATTTTGGGTTTACGACTAATAATGTTCACCTCTGTAGCCTTGTAATTTTGAACACAATCCAGAAGAAAAGGAAACTCCTGGATCAAATACTGGGAGAAATTTACCTTCGTGGAGGACTTTTTGATAGAAATAACCCCCATTTGCGTCACATGGAGAGGAAAACCACGAAACCATCCACGGTTAGTCTGACGGCAAGGGGACTCTAACCAGTGATCCGTCTACCATTGAAGATATTTCACATTAGCACTGTGGTCAGTGCTACCGGATGCGGAATTCGTATCGACCAGCCATCGTCGGGATTCGAACCCGGTACTCGCACCCACGAGCCTTCCCGGCTCTACTTAAACTATAATAACACTCAACATACTGCAGTACTGGAAATTAGCACCATCTGTGGAGGAAGAAGAGAGGTATTTTTGTCATCAGCGGATATTTTATCGCCAATTCTTTTCCTCTTTTTTTAAAATTTGTTCAGGCGATAGTCCTTGTATATGAAACTAATGTTAAACTTCCCCGTTTAAACGGATATTTTTTTTAATCCCACCTCATTGCATAAAAAAGAGGTACAGAAATGAAAAAAAAAATTTCTTTTTGAGAAATGTTTCACCAGCTAAAATGGAATTTCAGTTAAGATAAGGATACAATAGGTGGTCTCTTCAAGAGGTACTTCTTGTTCATTAGCTGATCTAAAGAGGTGTTAGGTATAAAGTTGAAAAATTAATCAAATTTAGCTGCCAGGTATACATTGAAGTAAACTTAGGGTGTTTTACCCCTCCTTGACCTACTTCACTCACACATCATTTCGAATGTAAAAAAGGTGCAGAGTGATTTGTTTCGTGATCAAGACTTGTGGTCCCCTCCTTTGATAACAAAAACTTTCAAAAACCTAACACACTAGTGTACAGCGTGTCTTTCTCTTAAGTAGAATAATCATTGCTTAATCCAACGAATAAATCTGAGTTGGTTGCAAGTTGAGCACGAAAAGGATTGTTTTGCATTAATTCGAAAAAAAAAATTAAGTGGAATTCTGTGAAAAAAATCACATGCCCTGCCCTTAGACCTGGAAGAATGATGCGAAAAACCCGGAATACAACCATCCCTGCATATATGATTAGTTAATTTTAATTTAGTGGTGACCAAATGTATTTTAAATTAAATTTAAAAATCAATTAGATAGATAAAAAAAAGAATAAATTCAGCTACCACTTAAGATATAAAAACTTCCAGTCATCTAAACATCACATCTAAGAAAACTAAATTAACAATACATTTAAATCAGACAAACTTACAGAAAGCAGACATTTTTTTCTAGAAATAGATTTTTATTTATGTGAAGATAAATATCTAAAGAAAAAAGGAAATATTACGTAGTATTGAGCAAGATGGTCTTTACAAGTTCATTGGGAAACAAATTTAATTCAATGTAAAGATCAATGAAACTATTTTGTATTAAATAACTGATTTTTAGAAAATGTAATTTAATGAATACGATTTTAGTGCAATTTTTAGTACGATTTACATTACAAAAAGCAAGGAGGAAAAAAGAAAATTACAATCATGATTAAGGCTGCAGATCTGTCGCAGAGCGAATTTCCGCGAAATTGTCCTCTTTTTTCTAAAATCCTCAAATTTCTCTAAATGATTTGATTTTTAAAAAATTGCTGAAAATAAGAATTTTTGTTTTCATTTTTCAATTTATTATTTTTATTTGACAGAATATTTTACTTTCCTGAAGCCTCAAATTAAATGTGTAAATTTGATTAGACATTTAGGGGAGTGAATCAATAGCAGAAGAGTGAGAACCAATAGAAAAATGACAAGAAAATAGTTCAGAGATAAGAGATAATCCCAATCTTGTCAAATAAGGTGGTCTTTCTACACTTTGGGAGGATGAAGGACTGATTAGGATTACCTTCCTGAAGTGAGTAAAAATAGGAAAGAAAAAAAATTTTATAAATCAAATCTTTGACAGAAAAATTGTTATACAGGCTAATGCACCATGCAATGAAATTTCTACTGTCTTTGTACGTATCCTGGGTGGCTTTTTGTGATTTCTTTTAGAGGAACCTCAAGCCTTTTTAAAGCATAGTTGGCCAAAGTGGGAATTCGTTGTTCGTACAAACAGCGTGGACTCGGAAAGATCATTTTCAAGGTATATAAATGTATTAAGTGATAAACGATGCAATATAAATTAGAATAATCTGACAATGTACAACACTTTATACCAAAATTTAGTTCATTTAAATAAAAATATTAATATTGCCTGAAATAAAATAAAAAATACTTTTGTTGTGCATTTTTTAAGCTTTTGTTTTATTATTTTCACAATTTCTGTCTTTTACATCACTATACCATATAGTAAATTTTTCCGTATTTAAAATTTGCTTAACTTTCAATATATCCCATGAATTTCGGGTATTTTTTCCCGCGACAAACTTACAGCCCTAATCTTGATATTGCTAACGCAAATTAGTGTAACAAGAAAAGTTTAAAAAATGTACAACAATCAGAAAAGATATGACATTTCTGTTTAAACAATTTCAGGAAAATATAGCATAAATAGGAGTTGCACTAAAAATATATAATTTCAAAATATTGATGCAAAAATTAGTTTAATTTCAAACCGCACATTACATACCTGCTAACATTGAAGAAATTAAATAACGGAGATTTTACAAACGACTTTTTTAGGTTACAAGTGAAGTTTTGATGCATCATGCATAGTTATGTAAGTCAAAAAGAGATATTCAAAATTAGAAATAATACACTCATGGACAAAAAAAATTAGCTCACCAAGAAGGAGTCGTCAAAATGAAACGAAATTTTACATATGTAATGACTACTTTGATATAAGTAAATGATCAGAAAATCAAAGGTAAACGATAATCTTTGATTTTCTAATAATTTACATATATCAAAGTAGTCATTACATATGTAAAATTTCGTTTCATTTTGACGACTCCTTCTTGGTGAGCTAATTTTTTTGTCCATGAGTGTATAAGCACTTATATTTTGTGAGGTAAAAAATATGTATACAAATCTTAACCTAAGAAAGATTATTTAAAACCATTATTTATAATTACTTAAACTCTTTCATTTTATAACCGTTTTTGAACAGCCAACCCAATCTTTGGATTGACGACTACTAATGTTAAACTTCGCAGCCTTGTAATTTTGAACCCGATCCAGAAGACAAGGGATTTCTTGTATCAAATATTGGGAGAAATTTGCCTTTGTGGATTACTTAAACTTTTAACACTCAATATACTACATTACTGCCAATAGCACCATCTGTTGAGGAATAAGAGAAGTATTTTTGCCATAGCAGATATTTTATCACCAAAAGAAATTTTTTTAAAAAAACATTTCTTAAACAAATATGGAGAAATTTGAGAATATACAGGTAAACAGGAAACAGGGGTCTTCCTTAAAATACAGGAGACTTGGCAAGTAGGCATTATACAGATTTCTGAAAGTAACACAATCAATTCCAAAGAAATAGTTAAATTTGAGTTAAAATGTGGTATACACAGGGTATCTGCTACATTTTAGATTTTCAAATCCACGACTAATTCCAAGAATTTTTCACGACTTAACGAAGTTACTATTTTCTCCAACAAAAACAACAATAAATTTAAAAAAGCATTTTAATAACATTAATTGAAATGATAGGTATAACCAAAACTGATTCAATATGCATCTTCTTATTTACAGATTTTAAATTTAGAAAACAAAATAAAGAAAGAGTTGAAGCAATAAAATAACTGAAAAAAATAAATTTTTTTCTTTCTTCCTTTTCCCTAAAGAATTATATTCTAAAGAGAATTTTCTTGTTCACCGGAAAAGAAAGAAACACTCCTGATTTTTCTGTTCTTATTTCGGAATAAAAAAAAATTTCGCCAATGACTGGCTTGGATCAGCTAGAATTTTAAATTGATAAAATAAAAAAATAAAGATAATTCGCACCAGAAATGACGTTTTTTCTTTCGTTTTCTGAAAGAACCCCATAGTTTTTAAAGAACATAAAATATTTTATATTTTAATAAAATATGACCGTGAGTGGGGATTTTGTTACAAATTCAGATATTCGGAACCACCATGAAATTGGAATTGGGAAATTCCCTTTTAAAAATTAGATTTTTCGGCAACCTAAATTCCATGAATCTCCATGATTTTTTTAGAAAAAAATAGTTAAAATCATGACATTTCAGGACAAATTTTGCTCAATACCGAAATTCATGACTTTCCAGGTGCAGAGATACCCAGTATACAGCATTCATTGCAACAAAATGTCAGTCAAGGAGGTCAATCTACAGTGTGGTCAACATTATGCATCATACATGTTGACACCCATTAATCTGTCAAGCCACCACATGGTATTGAACCCTTTACAGCAACAGCTCAGAACCACAGAGACACCAACAACATTCATAGAACAATGTTTTACATAACTCAATTAAAATAATCTAAATTAATTAAAAGTTTTACATAAAAATACATGAGTCAGGGATGATTGTGACACAAAGAGTAAAACCCGGAAAGTTGCAAACAATTGAAAAGTGTGAGAAAACTAGATAACAAGACATCAATTTATATACTATCCATATTTAATAAAATTTTTTGAACTAAGATTTATAGTTTAGTTACCTAGAATATCACACTTCATTAGAAATTAATTTAGGAGAAAGCTCAGTTCTTACGAGAATAGCGATATTGGATTTTAAGAAAGCAGAAATACAAACTGTGATATTGGGTTATAAAATTGCATGAATATGATTGACGATATAAGCGCATTTTGGCAGTTTCACATATTGAAAATTATGAAAATCCGACAAACTAAAAAATAATTCAAAATTGCGGAAGTGCGTGGAAACATCTCAAAAACCCCGATTCAAAATTTGAACTTTAGATTGTAGAACTTAATTCTGACGTTAAATTTTAGACTGAGGTGAAAATTTTGCTGGATCGTAAGTATTGATTTGCAGAAGTCCAAGAATCAATGTTCTTGAGATGCGTGGAATCCCACGAAGAAAATCACATGCCCTGCTCCTAGATCTGGAAGGATGATATGCAAAACCCAGATTTACATAGATGGCAGAAATGTACATTTAAAAAAAATTACAGCGAGATTAAACAGAATAAGAGTTAAGTCTGCAGACACATCACATAAGACTTAGTAAAAAAAAAGAAGTCAAAAAGGTGATCACAAAAACTTAGAATCTTTCAAGACTGATTTTATCACACTTCCCTGATTAGTGTAACTAGGGACCGGGGGTGTAAATTTAATAATTAATTTTTCAGTTATGATATAATAAATATATTACAAAACACTTATATTATTACATGTTCACAAACAAAACAAACTTATTGATGCACGAGCATTAAACAGGGTGCGCAGCCAGATTTTTCAACAAATAATAAGCACTCAAAAAATATTTCTTATCACTTCTAAAAAAAATAATAATTATAATTAGGATCTGTGCACAAATAAAAATTATTTTTAGCCAAAGTTTTTAATTTATAAACATAAAATCAATAAAATTCAAAAACATTTTCAAAAACATAATCAAGATTAAGTAACTAGTTTCTGGTAAATATTGCAGAGAAAATTGAGAAAACCAGGCATTTTTTGTAATTTAGAATGACAATTCACCTAGGCAAAGGAAAAAAATCTATTTTTAAAAGAATTTAAAATTAAGCACTTTTTGCAAACCCCGAATAAAAAAAGCACCTTTAAGGGCATAACATAACATAAATAAAAAAATGAGCACTTTTTAAAAACGCTATGCACCCTGTTAAATTGTCATGATATTTACAATAGCCTGCCTATGACAAGATCAATAAAAAAAAATTTGAAAACAACCAGGTTTTTCCAAAAACATAGAAATATCACAGTTAAACTCAGCATTGTCCAATGCTGCGAATCACAAACAGGACTACTCTTCGTGCTCGTGCTGAGAGGCAGCGTTCGCTTCGTGCCACGTGTTGCGTAGGAATTCCACCATGCGTTTGCAGAAAGATGACTTGAGGAAGGTAAGAGCAAGACAAAAGATAGTGAAAAACCAAGAAAATATCAATATGTAATCAACTTTCTTTACGAGCACTGAAGGAACCGGGCCGCTCATATCCGCAGATGTCACATTCAGAGTACCATTGTGTTCCAAACCTAAAATACAAACCAAGAAAATATGCTCTCAACTAATTTTTACATTCCAACTTAAATTGTGTATATCTTGCACGGTGAAGATATTCTATTAATCCAATTACAAAAGTGTGAGAAACCTATTGCCAATAGCTAAATTCAAAAAATTTAAATATTATGGATATTTTTATCAGGGTAGCCACTCAAAACAGATTTCAAATTTCCCTGATTTTTCCAGATAAAAATCTTAAAATTTCCAGATCTGTGTTTTTTCTGTTCTTATAAAGTGTAGGATGTGTACAAGAAAAGTGTCTATATTACATTCAAAATGTAACTTTTTAAACATACCATCTTGAAAAAATAATTTATTTTCACAATTTGGCAAGATTTTTTATTTATTTTTTAATGTTTTGGTACAACATTCATTTTTAAGAAATTAAGACATTTGTAGAAAATGTGTTTAGCTTGTAGAATATATTATTTTTATTGAATAAATTTTTTTGATGCGTTACTTTAAGTAGTTTTTGCTTAAAGTGTACCTAGCAAATGGCAAAAACAGAATGACCAATAAGACCTTGGATAAGTATTGTTTAATATATTTTCATTAAGCAAAAAGGAAAACCGTTTCAGGCGATTATATATTAATAAATTTTTGTATAATTACAGTGGCTCCTACAAGTGTTCGTTCACTTATAACTTTTAATGAAATAGGAAATAAAAATTCATTAATTAAAATGAATATTTCATTATGGGTATTCGATAATAAGATGTATAATATAATCTTTGCAAAACTGCACTGAATATTTTAAAAACAAAGCAAAAGTTTACTTTTAAGATATCAATAATCAAATAGTAAAAAAATTTTTACCCCATGAAAGCCATCGAACACTTAAATGTTTTACGATTTCAGAATTTAATTTATAGTCTATTGCTTTAATTTTTTCCTTTAATTATTTTTCATTTAATTTTTTATATATTTATTTGCAATTTAGCATCAAGCTTGTGATAGCAAAATTATATTTGAATTTTTGCTTCACCGTAATATTTTCTTTTATCATTTAAAAACGGCTCATGGCCATAACAAAACAATAGATCAAATTTGAAAGTTGATTATTTGTCATCATAAGAGGAAAATCAGTAATGAATATTGTTAAATTAGTTTAATGTGTCCTATTGCACTGTGCAATATGTGATAAAATGCTTAAAAGAAGGACTTCATATCAGAGATCAAAATTATAAAATTTGTGGAAAAATTCATAAATTCACAAATGAGTGCTGTAAAAGTTTCTGTCAAATTTAATAAAAAATGTTCTGCTCGAATTTCAGTCGACAAAAAAAAAAAACTAGTTACATTTATTTACAAACTTATAAAAGCTATTGTAGATGTGAAAGGAAACCCTACTAAATATTACTAATTAGAAAAATTTAGAATATTTACTAATAGGCAGAGATTTCTTTGAAAGTGTACAATGACTTTTCTGCGATAAAGTTTTTGTTACTTTTTGATGATCGATTTCTTAAAAATAAACTTTTGCCTTGTTTTTAAAATATTCCATGCAGTTTTGCTAAGAATAGAATATATTTTTTATTATTAAATAGCCATTCTGAAATATTCATTTTAATTAATGAATTTTTATTTCCTATTTCATTGAAAGTCATAAGTGTACCAACACTTTTATGAGCTACTGTATTTACATTTCAATATGAAGCTGTACTGTATTCTGTATTTTATCTTAACAGTGCATAAAATTGATTGATCATATTTTCTTTAAACCAATATCTCAAGTCAAATTTATAAATAATGCTTTTTTGAATTAGCATTAGTATTTTAAGAGATTCAATATACAAAAATAAATGTCACAAATGTAAAATTGTCTAATTTTTTGTTGTATACTCTATAGAAAAAAAAAGAAGAAAAAAAAGATAAAATTCTTTAAATTTTATACTTTTTTTTCTTATCTGCAATTCAAATATTTAAAGAATTCCAATCTAAACACATACTTAATTGCTTTTGTTTTTGTTTTAACTAAAGTCTTGTACAGTGCAGAACTAAAACACTAAGTTTCGTTCGATCACAGTAAGTGAGAGCGCAAACGTCAGAGCTCTCACTTACTGTGATCTTCATGCTATCAAGCGAGACAGACTATTAGAAGTGCTTAATTTTTATCATGCCTTTGCAAATTCATTTTTAAGAAACCTAGTGTTAACGTATAACCTACGACACAGGGTAAGCTAAATTAAATTCGTACTTTAAAGTGTTGGAAATACTTCGTACTTTCTATTTAATTATTAGTTTTAGCTCTTTCTCAACATAAACATGTAATGGTTTGTTTTTTTACTCCACTATCTTCTTTCTTGCTATTTTTGTAAATATTTCGTAAATAATTTAGTACTATGAAATATTTACAAAATGTACAAAGTACTTTAAATGTCTGCGTTAATTTTCGAAATGCGTTAAATTTTTAAACGCAGATACTAAGAGAATTGAAATTTTAAAGTAAACACGACATTATTACACAAAACTAATGAACTCGGTAGCAGAAACCCACCAACATGGCAATGGGTGCTGCAGATTATAACAACACTGTAAAAATTTGATGCTCACATTTCGCGAAACTTACTTCGTTTTTGACGAAGCCATTTCCTGATATATGCTCCAATCGAACATTTTGTCAAAGAATAACTATCGTCACTTCTTAGAGGAAAAGAATTTCCTAAATAATGTTTTATCATTCTATTTTTCAAAAAAAAACAAACGTCGTAGGGTTTAATGTATCAAACTTTTCACTTAATGTATCACTTTATCGTCGGCACCATATAGCTGGGTCAATGTCATCCTAATAGACAGGGTTAGTCCTACGTCATCAACGACGTCACTAGCTCTCCTCGTCTCCCACTAGCTCTCCTAGTTTCTCATGTAGTTAAAAGTGGGTGAACTAAATCTTTGAATATATTAATATAGAGTCGAATTTAACCACTGACATGGCAAGAAAAAGTGTTGCATATATTAATATTACGTTAATCTCTTTTTATGATATTAATTGGAATAGCTTATTAATTGCAAATGATTATGAAAACTTTTTGTATATATGATTGAGAGAATTTGTATTTAATATTTACCATATAAATTGTATTTATAATCTGGAAATCGGAAATTTGTGAATTTTATTATTTGGAAAAAGTTATTTCTAATTTATGTTTAATTTTTCTTAAAATATGTATATTATATTAAATCAATTTTTTTTATAATATTGAGACAACTTATTAATTGTAAATAATTATGAGAATTTTAAAACAAATTAAAAAGTTATGTAAGAAGCATGAATAAAGTCAGATAAATTAGTGAAAATTATAAAGCATTTTAGATACACGTTTTTAAAATAGCTCAAATTAATTGGTAAATTTACTAAAATGATAGGAAGTAAAAAAAAAAAAAAATTTATATAAACAAAAGACATATTTACAACCAAATTATGAAATAAATATGGATGACTTGAATGTTACGTTCACTGCAACAAATAGAATATTACTATGAAGGTAATTTAAAAAATTTTGATTTAGACTGTCAAATGCAAATTTTATTCTATAAAAAGTGATAACAGTAACATTTGCCAAAATAAAAGCTGTATAACTAAATATGCATACATACATTAAAGAATTAAGTTTCTAAATTAAAAAATTTCTTAAAAATTTGAATTATATTTATTTGAAATGCATGCGAAATTAATATTATTAAATAAGTAAAATTTAAACACCTATGTGAATACATAGATTAATAAATATGAATGTTAAATAAAAGTTTATGTATGGGATAAGTATGTTTTAAAGAATTCTAAAAAAATTCATGTTGCACTTTCTTATCGAATAAAATAGGAATCTGAGATTTTAAGATAAATTCATATATAACACCTAAAAAAAATTGTTCCTCTCACATTTTAAAATGAAAATTAGAAATTTAAAATTCTAAAATAATTTAGCTATTCTATATATTAAAATTCTGGAAACTATACATAGTATTGACCCTTTTAACATAACACTACACTTTAACATAGCACTACACTAGTTACGTTAAGAAATAATCTAATATTAATTATTTAATAATAAGGTATCTTAATTTTTTCAAAAAATTAATGCATAAAACTACTGTTAAAAAATGATAAATACAAACAAGAAAAAATCTCAAGTCAAAATAAATCTGAGTTTAAACTAAATACTTATGAAAAAAAAATTACATATATTATATTTAAAATATATTTTATCATTTAATATGTTTCCTATACATTCCTCAGCCTTTGTCAGCTTTTTAAGGTAAAAAGGAGGAACAGTTTTGGAAATATCATCTCTGGAAAGCAAGCAACATTTACGAACTTTCGATAATGTGATAAGTATACAATTAGAATTTTGAATCAAAAATCAAATATTGATCAACAAAACAGTAAAATTAAATATTAATATATAGTTAGTTCTTAAAAAACCCCGCTTTTTTTAAAATTAAAATATGTTATAAAAGGTTAAAATGAAATAGAAAAAATTAGCATTAATGCAACAATTTGTCAACAAACATTGCTATTAGCGATTGTAAACAAAGTGTGTGATTGGTTGATTTGCTGAGAAAAAATAATTCATAGATTTCTTTGAAAACAGAAGCTAATATACTAATCCCTTCTTCCACCTCCACCACAATCTTTCCTAAATTGCACAGTCCCATAGTGGTCAAAGGTTTCTACATTCGTTTAGCAACCGTGGGAGAATTTTATGTGGCATTTTAGTTTAATAGAACTGTAATGGAGCAAATTTTTATGCAAGCAAAGTATCGCAAAGTTGATGATGTTTCAACTGTCTGGCGATACATTTCCGTCTAAAAAAAGTGGGTATAATGAAATAATTTCAATTAAGAAAATTAGTAAATAATTTAAATTAGTGAAATTAAAACAATTATCTAAGAAAAAATTTCCAGCTTCTCTTTAAAATTCCTTGATTTTTCCAGGTTTTTATCCAAATTTCCCTCATTTTTCCAGGTTTTTTCCAGTATATAAAAAATTCCCTGATAATTCCAGGTCTTCCAGGTGGGTGGCCACCCTGTTTATATTATTGAGAGGGCAACTAAGTTCCTGTCATTTCTTAAAAAATTAAACTTGTAATTAAATGCTACTTGCATAATGATTTTTTTTAACCGTAGTTGAACAGGCGACCCAATTTTGGGTTTACGACTACTAGTGTTCAACTCCGTAGCCTTGTAATTTGGAACCCAATCCAGAAGACAAGGGAACTCTTGGATCAAGTATAGGGAGAAATTTGCCTTCGTGGAGGATTTTTTTGATGGAACAAACTCGCATTTGCATTACACGGAGAGAAAGACCACGAGAACCTTTCACAGTTAGCTTGTCGGCAAGGGGAATCTAACCCATGATCCGCCTACCACTGAGGATATTTCACGTCGGCAGTGTGGTCGGCGCAAGCCGGATGCGGAATTCCTATCGATCAACCATTTGCTGGGATTCGAACCTGGTTCACCTCATTGGAAGGCAAATGCTCTATCCCCTGATTCCCTGGGGGCTCGGTCATAATGATTTCAATTACTCAGAAGAAAATGGTGTGTTTTTGTTCTACTGGATTATAAATGTCTATTTGTTTTATTCATAACGTTTTAAAGGCCAGGAAAGCTGCTCATGACATTACTGTTGTGTATGGACAGGGTGCCATAATTGAAAAAACTGTGTGCCAAGTTTAAAAATCATTCTGGTCTTCCAGTTGAGTTTGATAAAGAGTTTTTTAACTTGAAACTTCACCTCAAATGACAAGGGAAGTACCAGAGAGAATGCTCCCTAACCTTAAAAAAAATGACTGGGCACTTAATTACTTGATGATGATAAAAGTGCAAAATAATTCATCAATATTAGATGCAAAAAAGTTTAAACGAGAAATAAAGTAAGTATACAGTAGCATTTTTGATAGTATGTAAACTGACATCTGTTGCACAGCAAATTAGGATCCACTATAAATCTGACTTCAATTTTCTTTTCATATTTTCTCCAAAAAAATTATAATAGTTTAACAAATAATATCTTAAATATGTGTAAGTCATTCTAATTATCCCAAAAAATGTTATTATACATAGCAGTGAAAATAAAATAATAAAGTAGAATAGATATAAGAAGTTCAACATTTTGGAATATTTTTTAGCCTACAATGAAAATTCATAGGATAGTAAGAAATGTGAATACAAACATTAATTTTAGAAAGGTTAACAATTAAAACAAAAATTAAAGCAATATGAAAAGATACAGAGGTGATTGTGAGCTCAACTCAAAAATCCTGAAAATTTCTTGAGTAAAATCATTAGTGACGCATTTAAAAAAATTAATGTCTTCATAAATTTAAAATCATTGATGTTTTCACAACATGAAATTCTAAATAAATTATATGCAGCATAATTTAAATTAATAATCTTGAATAAATTTACTTTTATCTCCAATTACATTTATTATTCGACGAGAAAAAATATATACAAATGATCTCTTTTATTTTCAAGTATAAATTCTAGTTCTAATATTTTGAAAAAAATATACAAGAGTTTTTATACATAAATGTGATGGATGATTTTTTAAAACTTCTGCACCTTGGATTTTCGGATTGCGGTTAACGAAAAATCCGAAAATATGGGTTTCTGAATATCTGAATTTTATAACCTTTAGAAAAAAGATTTTATGCTTAGCATGAATCACTCCAATTAGTAAGGAAACTAACTATACACAATTCTCTGTAGAACAAAAGGTTCTGAAAAGGTATTCATGCTAAAATTTCCCTAATAACTTTTTGCACAATATTTTTTTTAAAAATTTCCTAGTTAGTAAAATTTATTGAAAAGTATTAAAAAAAACCCACAGAAACAGAAATTTAAATTTAAGAAGGTAAAAAACAACCTTGAAACAGTATTACACTTATTCCTACACTCTCACTGAAATAGAAAATTTAAAATAAAAAACTAAAGGTTTACATTTAAAAAGTGTAATTAAATGTAACATATCTATCACAGAATATAATAAAAAAATTATTCAATGATTATAAAACTGAAATTATAGGCTAATTAATTTTATTTTTAAGTGTATTTAAAGTTTTTTTTTTCTTTAATAATGAATCTGATTAATATTGATAAAATAATAATTATTTACATACATATTTTTTTTCAAATACAGCTACTACTCCATAATATAGAAATATTATTTTTTACTAAATATGTAGGAATTAGATTATTAAATATTAGGAGAAGAGTACAAATATCTTTAATTTGAGCGAATATAATTGCAATTTAAAATATTACAGCTACTAGAACTATTTCAAAACATTATAACAACATATTCAAATAACTACATTTTTCTCAATATCATTACTTTATCAAAAATAAAGCAAAAGGTTTGTATAGCCATTAAAATTTAAACTCAGCATTCTTTTAGAGGAAACTTACTTTTTCCAAAGCAAAATTTAGTGAAAAATTTAATATAATGGAAGAAACACCAAATGACTTGAAATTTTTTCAAACTGAGTTTTAAACTGTCTCAAATTGGCCCACTGTGTTCAATTTAAGAAGGAAATTTGAAAAAAATTCTCCAAATAGGATAGTAAAGCTTTTAAACAAAATAAAAAAGGAGATATTTAAAAAAAAATTAACATACAGGAGACTGATGAAGATAGCTTAAGAAACATGATAAATTATCTCACTTTATTTAGGAATAATCAAACTTACATTATTGAATAATGAAGGGAAATTTGTCCTTTNAGGAACTGATGTAAAAAGGTATTCAGGGGTCTGTCTAGGTTTTTCTGACAGGTACCTATTTTGTGAAAATTTAGACGTAATTTGTGAAAAATTAAAAATTATATTAAGAAATCAACACAAAAATATGGATTTATCGTTTCTTAAGGGATACAAAAATGAAATTTTAAGAAAAAGTATTTTGTGAAACTACCGTTTTGCCTGAAATTGAATTTGTGAAACTACCGTTTTTCCTAAAGTTGAATTTGTGAAGGTACCGCTAAACGGTAGTAAATTCGGCCTGGACAGACTCCTGATTAAATACTTTACTAAAACTGATAAAGAAATTAAAAATGCAATTTTTTAAGTTACAGATAAAGTTCAATAAACTTAAAAAAATTAAAACAAAAAGAAAAAAAAATGTGGTGAAGCAAAGTTTAGGCTATAGATATTTTTTTCATAATAATTTTTCTTTCCATTGGAATCTCTCATTTCTTTATAAGGTTTTTTTAAAAAAAAAGAACACAAAAAACCCAGAAACTTTTCAAACCCGGTACAAATGCCCTGTCCCTTGTTGCCCCTTCACAATTAAAAGCAAACAACTGCCCAACAATTTTATATATTCCTGACAGTCCTCCTTATGCTGCCAAATTATAACCAGGTTAACACCATTTTGGATCAATTGTTATAATACAGAGTATGCTGTAAATCAAAAAAGTAATTTCAAAAAGATCAAACTAAAAGGACAATCAATCAATATGAATAAGTTTTACCTGTAAAATATTTAATGAAATCCACCAACTCCTCCAGATTTATCACACTTTCATTAAATCTTCCATGTGGTTTAGAATTGTGGAACAGCATGATATTTGGAACATACACTAATCCATAGCGTATATACAAACTAGAAACAAACGCTTTTTTATTATCACATCAAACAAAACAAATATACATATTTAATATAAACAATGCAAAAACAACACACTGAATAACTTTGGATCTAATGATCGGATCTTCTAGTTCTAAGACTCAATCTTAATGGCTTAAATATATTAATTAATAAGCGCAGACAATATCTTTTATGATATCAGACTCGTACTTTCTCTGAATAAACATAACCTTTTCTTGATGAAATCAAATTTCTGATCCCCAAAATATAGGGGGTAGCCACAATTTGGGGAATAGGGTCGCAATAGTTTGGTCTGTATCAGTTGTGCAACAACAGTTTATACTTGGAGTACGATTGAATAATTTTAAATCCAGACATATTTGAATTGTTACTTCTTTAAAAAAGCATAACAACTGCGAATATTAATAAAATTATGAATGAATATTACAGTTATGTAACCTCCTCCTACAATGCCATCTATCCTCAGTTTGCTGAACTCGGCAGTTGAGACTAAGATTTCATTCGCTTAAGACTCTTATGCCACCACCTTCCCTTTCTTATGTTATAATTTGTAAATCAAGCGGCCATTAATTAAACACAACTTCACATAACAATCCATTTAAAAAGTTCCCTAAAGTATTAGAATTAGTGAATAAAACTCCTAATTATAGATAATGTTATGTACAAATGATGAGATATACAGTGCTCAAAACATACCTGCCAACATTGAAGAAATAAAATAATGGAGATTTTACAAGCAATACTTTTTAGGCTATAAGTAAAGTTTTGATACACCACGCATAATGTAAGTCAAAAAGAGAAATTAAAAGTAATATAAGTACTTACATTTAGTGAAGTAAAAAATATCTATTCTAAAGACAATTTTAAACCATTTATAATTACTTAAACTATAAACACTCAACATACTGCAGTAATGGCAATTAGCACAATCTGTTGAGGAATAAGATAAGTATTTTTGCCACCAGAGGATATTTTATCGGCAAAATTTATTTTTAAAAAAAATTTTCTTCAACAAATATGGAGGATTTTGAGAATACATGGGTAAACAAGATATAATCGTAAAATACAGGAATCTTGGTTAAAATAAGGAGACTTGGCAGGTTTAATTAAATCAGCAAGCACTTCAAATTTTTTTTTATTTAATGATTGGATTTGTACATACTAGGATGCAATCTTCATAATTTTAGTGACTAACCTTAAATAAGGTAAAATGTCTAAATGTTGAGGGGAGAAAGTCAGTAACTAGAAAATATGGTCCCTACAGTTAAGTTCAGTCTTTTTAAGATTAATTTCACTTTCTGTCTATTTCCCCATAGGTCTGTAACTGTTAAAGATAATCAAATAATTTTATTATACTAGTTTATCCCAAGATAATATACATGGAAAATTAATTTTTGGAATTTATTACTTGTAATTTTTATTTGAATAATCTTAAACAGTTTTCAGGAGTCTGTTTAAAAGAAATTTGGGTCCTTTAACGAACCCTTCGCAAAATTGTATCTTTTCATGAAAACGGACCCTCAACAAAATATTTTAGCTTAAAAACGGACCCTTCACAAAATAATTTATCTTTTAATCGAACCCTTCACAAGAGACACTCGAAAGACATTTGCGTATTATTGTAAATGGGCAGGAAAAATTTACTGATGCTGAGTGTTCAGCTATTAATAGATATTTTCAAATCTACTGGCAATCAACGCATATTACTATAATATTTCGTTAATCATGATTTTCTGCTTTAATTCTAAGGCTAAGTTTGATCTCATTTCATTTATATTATGTACCTTAACCTCTTCGAAGTCAATAAAATTTTATAAACTCCAAATGTAGTATTCTAAGAAAATATGTACATCGTGTGTACATTCTTATCATGTACATATCGTGTGTACATTCTTATTGATATTAAATGATATTTTTTTGTAAATAAATAATTGAGCAATATATTATTCATAAAATTAATTGATAAAATATTATGTAAATAAAAATTAACTTACATCAATTTTTTAAAAAAACTAATGTCAATTGAAATTATAATAAAAATGTCAATGTTATTCAAATAATGTAAATGTTATTATAATGTAAATGTTATTAAATATATCTATTGAAATTTTTAAAAATGTGAGTGATTTTGTTTCCATTATTCGTCCAAAATGAATATTCTGTGTTGTGCAGCATAGGCTAAATACCAAATATTAGTATGTTGCATTTCTAATTTAGTAGTAGCAATAGCTGATTATTTTTGAAAATTTAATTCTTTTTTTTAATTGTAATTTTACAGTGTTGAGCATAATCTTGTATGCATTTACAATTTAAAAACTCCTTGAAAAGTTTTTTTTGCAATAACAGGACCCTATTTGCACAAATTCACAAAACAGGATTCTGTTTAAAAGAATGTGACTTAACGCTTATTTTATATTCACAAATTACAAGTAATTTTTTCACAATTTTCCAAATACAGGACCTCTTACAAAATGTCTGGACAGACCCCTGGTTTCACAAAAATTTATAAATCATTTTAAACTTTTGAAAGTTGCAGCAGTCCAAAATTTCAGAATTGGCCAAAATATTTCTTGAGAAATAAAAATTTAAGAATAAAACCTTTTTTTAAATACTTTTTAGCACAGAAAAATATAACATAAAAGATCTCAAACTTTATATCAATCACCTACATTAAGTACAAATTACCAGCCCCAATATTTTAAGTGCAAATTTGAAGAACAAATATCTATTTCAAATATTTGAATTTGTCTTCCGTAATAGTGCTGGCCAATTAACGTGACGATTTCTGATTTTTGCAGTACTTAGTCTTTGAATTATCCTTTTTAATATTGTCTTAAAATTTATATTAAACATATAATATCTTAAAAGTAAAATACAACATTCAATTATTAGCTTTAATTTTTCCTCTTGCTTTTAGCTGTTATTTTCTACAATTTATTTAATATAAATTCTTGTATAAATCGAATAGCAGACATAGCTTTTACTCATCAACACATTTGAATTTCTCTGCTTTACTTTTTCCTTATTCTGCTATGAACCTTTTACTTCCCTAAGTTCCGCTTCTTCATTTAAAAATAAAATTAATAAGATTACCACAAACACCTATTAATATTTATCAATTTTATTTTTAACCGACAAGTATGTCTTACCTCTCTGCAATCAATGAAAATTATGAAAAAGCGCAAATACAAAACACAATTTGTTGCATCCGATGATAATTTCAATAAAGGAACATTTAAGAATGTTTCATTACATTAATAATCATTTCTATGGAAATAATTATATGAAATTTTTATTTCCCAAAGATCTGTTTCTCAGCGGTTTGTCCAGACATTTTGTGAAAGGTCCGTTTTTGTAAAATCGTGAAAAAATTACTCGTAATTTGTGAATATAAAATAAACGCTAATTCACATTCCTTCAACCAGGATCCTGTTTTTGTGAATTAGGGTCCTATTATTGCAAAAAAAAAAAATTTCCAGGAGTTTTTAAATTGTAAAGACATACAAAATAATGCTCAACACTGTAAAATTACAACTAAAAAAAATTAAATTTTCAAAAATAAACAGCAATTGCTGCTACTAAATTAGAGATGCAACATACAAATATTTGGTATTTAGCCTATACTGCTGTATGCAGAATATTCATTTTGGACGAATAATGGAAGAAGCGTCTTCTGAAGACAAAACTTAATTCGTTTACATCTGTCTTTCTTTCACCTTCTTCCTGGGAAGGGTTTATTCAATTAACAAAACAATAATGAAGATAAACAAATTTGTGAAGGGTCCGATTAAAAGATAAATTATTTTGTGAAGGGTACGATTTTAAGTCAAATATTTTGTGAAGGGTCCGTTTTCAAGAAAAGATATTTTGTGAAGGGTCCGTTAATGGACCCAAATTTCTTCCAAACAGACCCCTGCTTCTTGATTTCAAAATAAAACTAATAAGATTACCACAAAAACCTATTAATCTTTATTAATCTTATCTCTTTTCAATCAATGCAAATTTTGAAAAAGTGCAAATTCAGAACATGATTGGTTGAATCCTAGTGGCAATTTCAATAAAGGAACATTTAAGAATGTTTAAGGTAATAATTATTTTTTTTGTACATTTTGCGACTGGTTTTATCAGGCACAAAACACAATATTTTAAAAAATAAAAAAAAGAGGCTATTTACTTTCCAGTTTCCATGATATCCACAGCATAAAATGTGATGTCTGGGAACACCCTCGCCAGAGCATTATAGTGGGGAGCCATCCTGGCAGAGAAGACGCACTGTCGAGAGAAGAATAGGACAACGATGCACTCCCCTGCTGTAGTGTTCTTATTAGTATTAGGTGAGAGCACTTTAAGCAGTGTGGATGAGTTAGCCAAGACGACTTGAACAGTCTGCAAAGATTAAAACAGAGAATTTATTCCTTCAGATAGAAAAGTGACATTTCTTTGTTTTCTTACTTATTCAAGATTTCTTCATTTTCATTCACTGTTCTATTAAACCTAGTGACCAAATCTTTATTATTCTAGAACTGGAATATTTTGAGTTTTAAAACAGACTTGCAATTACAAATTATATATGGTATAATGTACTAAGATTAACCCTGTGTCAGAATCACAGCGGCATTGTCGCAAAATGTTACAGAGTTCTTGCAGAATGAGTTTTATTTCGAAAAGTAAAAACTCTTACTTTTCTTCAGAAATTTACATGTAATATTTGAATCATGCATTTTGGTAATCAATTTTTTTACATGTTCAGTTTATGTCAACAGTATCGTAAATCGATGAAATGTTCCAATTGTATTTCTGGCAGTTATTGATATTGATTTTCACGTGGATTTTAAATATCCCAAAATATTTCAAACAATATGGAAAATTTAAATCCTGTATTTGAGTATATACTTTTTAAGGCAATGATTTTATCTAACTTTTGGCAGTTATTGATATTGATTTCTCCATAGTTTTTAAATCTGATATTTTGTATACAATATTATTTATCACAACAACCTAATTTCGAAATAAAACACGCATTTGAGGAGTTCAATTCACGTGATTTCGTCATTGCTCTTTTTTTCGGCAATTACTACTATAGATTCCATGATTTTTAATAAATTTTTCTACTGTGATGATTATTTACAAAATGAGAAGAAGGAAATAACCTTTGCACCTCCCCCCCCAATAAAATGAGAGAATATTACCCATAATATCAGAATAAAAAAGTATAACATGTTCATTAAAAAAAATTATATAGTTTTTTTGTAAACACAGCATTTTTGTTATTTTAGATAAGTATCATATATGTTTGTTCTTATTAAAAGTATCTTGCAGAAAGATAGTAGTGCTAAAAAGTTTTGTTGCAGATAGCTCAAAAAAATTCTGCCACAGGGATTAACAGCCTGTAAGTCAATACAGTCCTCTGAACTTCTATGATTTCTCTCTGTATTAAATATTTTCAAACACAATATGAACCTTGATATGAAATAAGAATCCTATTGCTGTACAATCAGTAATGAGATTCTACACATTCTAAAATTAATTCAATGCTTGTGACATTTTAAATTTTTTTTTATAACTAATATGGGAAAAAATTACAAGGAAAAAATTGTTTAAGAATTAAAAGCTAAATACTTTTTAAAAAAAAATTAAGTTTAGAATTGTATGCAACATAAATATCCTAAATTAGAAATTTTTAAAGCAAAGTTGAACCTAGATATCACATATTTCGATGTCATAAATTTTTGCATATCATAAAAAATTGTCTGACACATTCGTGATAAATGAGTCAAATGCACTTAACAACCATTGATTTCATGAAATGTTAATGAATACCCAAAATGTTTTTTCTTTTTGAATTCTGAAAAATTTAAAAACTTTTGGAGAACATCAAGTTGTAAAGAATTTTCGTATTTTATGAAGCATTTTTTAAAACAAAAATAAGTTAATATTTGACCAACAGATTAAAAAAAGTTGTCAGAATGCAAAAATGATGTGCACATACAAAGGAAGAAAGTTTCTTCCACCAGAAGACAAACCGACTTAGAAGAAATTTGTTCCTTCCAACCCAAGAGAAAAAAAAAATTTTTTTTAAAGTTATACCAAATATTAAAACAACTTTTTAAAAAATTTATAATTGCCATTTAGTTCAAATTATTCATTTCAAAGCTTCATTATACATCATTTTTAAATAAATTAAAACTAAAAAGCAACAATTGAAAAAAAAAAATGTTAAAGATTTTTTTTAATAAAATAAAATAATTGCAGTACTTAAATCCTTCAAGTTAATAAATGTATTTACACCTAATTTTTTTAATTTTATAACTGTTAAATTATCATTATCAGATTTTTTTAATGCTTCTAAATTAAATGTCTCAGCCGTCCCTTAAGCTCACTAGTTAGTGGGAAGAATCTCTAAGAATAAGACGCTTTTTTAAAAAAAAAAAATAATAAATACATACTGTACAATATTTAAAATAATGGTATAACTAATAGTTTGACCAAGTTTTAAAAGAAAATATTTCATACCCAATTTCTGAAACTTCAAATTTTTGATCATGAAATTGTAAGTGTCATGTATTGAGTTTGCAATATTGAAGTTTGACTATTTACATTTAATAAAATGGTCCAGAGAAGTTTTCTGAGCGGGAGTATCATATAAAGTTTCTGTAATAGCGGGGGAAAAAAACAGATAGTTATTGAGATTAACTGAAATAAATTTCATTCTTAAATTTTTAGTAATAACTGTAGAATTAACTTCATACAATTTTCAAATAATTTGTATATTTTTAATTACTGGTTTAAAATCCAGTAAATTTTAACAAGTTAAAAAAAGAATAATAAATTCAGGTGCAGAGAAGATTTAAAATTCAAAAAATTTCAACCAGTACGAAGAATTAATAAATTTGGGTTTGTAAAAAGTTTGAAATAAAGGAAATTTCCAAATTCTTGAATTATCAATAAAATTTTTAATAAAATTTCAAAATTATCAGAAGGAATAAATGTAAGTAACTAGAAAGTTACAAATTCAAATAATTTTAACCAGTACACAGAAAAAATGAATTCAGGTATGTAGCAGGTTTTAAATTCTGGAAATTGTAACTGATATGTAAAATCTATGGAATCAATATGCGGCAGTTTTAAGAATCTATACGAGTTAGTATAGTGTATATGAGCTGATGTATGCTATGTAAAAATATTAAGTAAATTTTGTTATGAAAAAAAGAACCAAGGATAACCTCATTTTCAGGAATGACTCTGGGAGTGCATTCTACTTTAATTTTGTTTTTTGTTTCTGTTGTAGCATTGGCTGTGGCATTAAGTTCTGCTTCTGGCATCATTGGATCTGTAATATTGTTTAAAATCTTTTCAATGTCTGTGATGTTGGATCCTTTGAGGGCAGCCAGTCGTTCCTTCTCGTAAGACACGGGTGGCTCGATCTCTTCGGGAGTCACGATGCTGGCGTTCACCGCATTTTCAATAGGCCTCTCGGAATGGTGCGTACTGAACTCAACAGTAGTGACATCACTCTCCAAATCTGCACAAAATAAATGCAAAAAACTTAATCGATATTAACTTTTGGGCAGTTCAAACATTATGCAGTAAAACATCGTTATAATAATATTTTGGGGACCAAATAAATATATTGTTGTAGAGGGATATATTATTATATCGAGGGTCTACATACTTTGGGGACACAATAGGATTTTTGTTGTTGTTAATTTTAATGTTATATGTGTATTAACTATAAATCTATTTATATATTATGTAAAAATTTAATTTGCAGAGTGGTAATTAGGGTTAGATATGAAATCAGATAGGAATGTTACATCTGTGACTTCTTAAGAGATGAGGGTGGCAATTCTAAGAATGGAAGGTCTTGGGGCGGTCTATGTTCTTTAAGGATGGGGTAATGAAATCGGAATGAAAAAGCCATTCACTGTGGTGAAAAGAAATAAGATACAAAAACATAATCAGCAGTGAAATTTCTCTTGTTAGAAAAGACCAAAACTATAGCAAAATGGAATGAAATAAGATTTTTTACATTATTTGAAAACCAATAATAAATGGAGAAAATAAGGTAGAAATTTAAAAAATATATATATTGTTTTACAGGAGTTCATTGTGTCAGAGAATATCGCAACATTGAGAGGTGGAAAACGTTAATTCATATGCAAGTTCGTCGGGACCACAAAACATTATTGTAAACAGCGGGAGTTATTGTTTTATCGGATATCGTAGTAGCGAGAGCTCACTGTATAACAATGGAAAACATATTTCTTACCTTGAATAATGAAATAGAGTTCTGATTATCTGAGTTTCTGCTTTAATCGAGATATAAAATATTTCTATGATTCCTTTTTCCATTCTAGCTTATTTTTTATTTTTAAAACTACCTGAAAAAATTCTGAATCTTATTTTCCCAACACTCAGGAAAACAAGCAGACAGACAACAAGTGATTACCGATGAAATGATAGTTAATATTGTTAATAATGAAAATGAATCTAGCAAAGATGATGAAAATAGACATATAAGAATCTCTCATACAGATGGACTAAAGGCCATCGAAAATGCTATAGAATATATAGAGCAACAAAAAAAGGCAACAACGGCCTTCCTGTTATCCCTAAAAAAATGGCGAAACATTGCTGCAGAAAAACGCCAAAGTAATGTAAAACAAAAAACTATTAAGGACCTTTTTAAGTAAAAACCCTTTCATTCTCGTAAAGTATGATCTTTAAGTGTTTTTAAGTATACTTTTTAATTATAATATGAATTGTATGCGGTGTACTCATATAAATTTTGTATTTGTTAAATATATTACATTTATACCTACTATTTTCTTTCTTTTTTTAAACTCTTTGCTTTAACCGAGTTTTGCGGTTAGCCAAGTTAGTCACCGTTCACATTAACTCGGATAATCGGGACTCTACTATGCAACAAAATTGACATCGCCCCCAAGAGAACAAAATAAATGTTGAATTTAATAAAGTGTCAGACTAATATAAAATTATTTAAATAATTACATATACAGGGGTCTGTCTTTCTAAGAGGTACCTATTTTATGAAGTTTTAGATATAATTTGTGAAAATTAGAAATTATATTAAAAAATCAACACAAAAATATGGTAAAAATATGGATTTACCGTTTCTTACGGAATACAATAATTTTTTTTTAAGAAAAAGTATTTTATGAAACTACCATTTTTATTAAAGTTGAATTTGTGAAGGTACCGCTAAATGGTAGTAAATTTGGCCTGGACAGACCCCTGATATCTAAATAAGATTTTTTTTTAATGGTTTTCTCATAATTTCAAATGTCTCGGATTATTAAGAAAGACCTAGTTACTAAGAAAGTCTAACCCTTTCCTAACCCCAAAAAAACTGATAGGATTTTTTCATTGGGAACCAATTTGATGACCAAAAATTTAAAATATCTTTAATTATGATTTGTTTTAAATCCTGGAAATGATAGATTGTTATATAATCAACACAAGAAAAATATATAGAATTGGAAAACAAAATAATTAAAAAAAACAGGATGTATATTTTTTTTAAATATCTCATAGACATATAGGACAGTAAGGGGAATATAACAATAAAAACAGTAAATATAACTTACAATTGATAATATGCTTTAAAAAATTGAGAATTAATATGCAAACAGTACCAAGGTGATTAATGATTTTTGATGACCTCATAAAGGATATGAGAATTAATATGCAAACAACACCAAGGTGATTAATAATTTTTGATGACCTCATAAAGGATAAGATATTTTTTTATAATTACCAATTTCTAATTGAAACAGTTTGATTTAATAGATATCCAGCTAAAAACTGGAAATTTCTGTTAAAACTTAAAAGATTGAAGATGCTTTCTCTGTCTACAGAATCAATTGTAGTCTATAACTTTTTTCAAACTTAATTACTTTTAACTGTAATACAATACAAAATATCTCACAACACAAATTGAGGATATAATGTTGGTACCAGACTTTCTGCAAACATAAAATCTCAGTTAAAAAACTTTCTGGACGCATTGATTAACTCTTATAGCTAGTTCAATCCCAAATTTTTTTTAAAATTTTTTAATTTTAATAGAACTCTATTGTTTTATACTACAGAAAAAAGTATGGTAAATAACCAAAAAAGTTGAACATAAAAATCCAAAAATATTATATGCAAAAACAAATTTTAAATAATTGGAAAAAATATTACCTCAAATTTGAGGAAGAAAAAAGTGTTTGTAGGACGTGTTTGTAGTGTATCAACATTTTAATAAAAATATGGATGCAAAATTTATTTATTTGTTTAAAATATGTGAATATGGATCTCAATGTGCAATTCTTAAATCACATGAATAGGAATCTCAACAATTAATTTTCAAATCGAGTGAATATGAATCTTGGTGTTTCATTTCAAAATCGAGTGAATATGAATTTTGATATTTGATTTCAAAATGACATGAATACGAATCTAAATATTTGAGTTTAAAATTTTGTTAATATGATCTCAATGCTTCCTTTTAAAATTGCGTGAATTCCGATCTATAATCCCTTGGACACTATTCATAGTATTGGCTCTTAAATCACATGAATACAAAACATGATATGTGATATAAAATTATGAAGATACGAAACACAATGTGCAATCTTAAATCCTTTAATAGGAATCTTGATATGTTATTTCAAAACATGTGAATGTAATTTTAAATTGTGCTTGCATTGATAGGAAAAGACATAATAATGAATCTTATTTTTTTCCTCAGGTATTCTAAAGAGACAAACTTTCATTGAAGAAGCAGATTTTTTTTTCTTTTTTAGCAATAGTAAAAAACTTTCAGGGTTCCCACTCAATTTCAGAAAAAACAATTATCTGATTTTTTCAGGTATATCAGGTAAATTTCATTAGAAATCCATACCATATTTTATTTATACCACACAATTTTTCATAAGAAAGCTTTGATTTTCATTATTTCCAATGCAAATATTATATTTTGTGAGCAAAAACATACAATAGAATGAGAATCGAAACATTAAAAAGTTTCAATAAAAAGTATAATTTTATAAAGACAAGTTCTATTTTTTTTAAAGAATATCAAGAGAATACGAAAAATATTACTACATTAGGTAATGATAAATAAAGACAAAAAAAACAACATAAAAACATATTACCTTCTTCCTCAGCTATGACTGAAATCAGAAGTAAACATGAAAGTAGTATTCTCTTTAGCAAGATCATGATGCCTTAAATTGTGGTCATAAAAATCAGTTTTATCTGAAATTCAGTATGGATTATAAATTACATAAAAACAGTGTAGTCAAATCTTTCAACAAAAAATAAGGACTTTTTAAGTAATTTTTAAGCACTCAAAAAATATTTTTAAGTACTATACACATTAACAAAATGCAAAATAACTTTCAAGGATTTTACATGATCATGATGAAATAAGTAGTTTCAGACAAAGAAATTTTTTCTTGATTACATTAATCAACATAAAAAACCCAAAGATTTTTCAGTTTGATTTCAGAAGGTGAAAAATAAAGCCTGAAATAGAGAATATCTTGCAAAATACAGCAGAGTTGCACATGAGAGAGCTAAAATCTCACAGAACCCAGCTGAGTAGATACACATGCGGACTTGTACGTATTTCATCAAACAAGTAAAATGATTGGCGGTTTCATACGCTACCGACCGATGACACGCTAAAGTGGTTTGTAGCGGAATGAATTGCGAAAACGTGGAATAGAACAATGTGAAAACCACACTTTTGTATTATACATGGTGAAAATCGACATGGTAAAGGAAAAAAAAATCTCATTTTCAAAAAGAGAAGATTAAGCACATTTTAATAAACCCCAATGAAAAAAGCACCTTTAAGGGCTTCTAAAAAATGAAAATCAAACTTAAGTACCTTGAAGCACCTTTTAAAAACACTATGTACCATGTTTTATTGATAATACCGTTATACTTCAATTGAATTATAAACTTAGATCTAATATTTTTTTTTAATAGGATGATTATGCAACCATTATCCCTAACACTTTTCAAACTTCTAGTAAAAATAAGGAAGTAAAATATCATAATTATGCATGTCCTTATCCTAGTTTAAAGGAAATACTCAATGCATTTACTATGAAAAATACTTAAAATATTTAATTCTTCATATAATAAATTGTTGCTTATTTTGTAAGAGCTAAGTTCTCGATGTTTTTCTTTATCCCCTTTATGTTCTTTAATGTATAAGCTAGGTAATTTGCCAAACTTAAAATACTTAGCAATTTTCAACTAAATTGCTATTTAAGCACAACATTTGATCCATTTGTCATAATGTATACAAAATGAACAATTAAATCTTTAACACTGTTTTCATTTAATATTGTGTTAGTGAATAATTAAAGCTAAACATATTGACATCATAGAGTGTTAGTATCCGTATCAAAAAATTTATAACACTCAAATTATTCAATGGAAGAATAGCACGTAGAATATTTCGATACAATCTTACCCAGGGGAGAAATTGAGGGATAATAACAGCAAAATATTAAACAAATAGGTGATTACCGATTGTTCTTTATTTACCTTCAGAACTACACTGTTCAAGATATTCTTAAACCTTCTCTATCACCTGCACAAAACCTAAATATTTTGGTTAAATTAAATAATATTAAAAATATTATTAAAATTGGATATTGCGAAAACTTTTAGCTGCCTATTTTTGTACACTCAATGTATGAATAGTTGAATGCATAAAACGAAGCGCAGATGGCGCTAGGATTAAAATTCGTCGTAAGACTTCCATCTCACTACTTTCGACTGAATTTTAGGTTAAAGTTGGTTGTTGTAGTTGTAGTTAATTTACGTCGCACTAGAGCTGCACGATAGGCTATTGGCGACGGTCTGGGAACCGCTCCTAAGGATGATCCGAAGACATGCCATCACAGTTTTGATCCTCTGCAGAGGGGATGGCATCGGTAGCCCGACGACCTGCACGCGAAGTCGAGCACTTTACGGTAGAACAGTTAACCGAGGGCCAATACCGCACACCCTCGGTGCCTACGCAGACTGACCGCAGCCAGTGATGCTTGACTTCGGTGATCTGCTGGGAACCGTGTCTTAGCGATCAGTCCACTGCGGGTCCGCTGCTCAACGACGGCTACATAAATATCGTGAACTTGTCCTTCAGTCCGCCGACCAGGACAGTGGTTAGTAAATCGTACTCCGGACCGAAGGGGGCCAGGGCTCGATACTCGACTCAGCTAAGACACACAAGCTATATATATATTCTCATAAAGTCTATGGAATCGAAATTCTTATCATTCTATAAATTGAGGAAGTGGTTTCACGAAATTGTGATGTCGATGTCTTGTCTTTGGCTCATCGTCAGGAATATCTAAGTTTAATTTCTTTATGCAATAAAATTGCTAACTTAATCAATAGAATTGTAGATATACGTTTGTCAAATGATTTAATATATAGATGTATTTATACATATATAGTAAAAAAAATAGTCAATCAAATTAGTACTGTTCCGTTAAAAAATCAATATGAGCGAATTCAGGACTACTAAGGAGTTCAACGGTCAGTTTAAGGAGTATCGGGAGCAATAGAGCTTAAACTGAAAAAAAAGAGTGTTAGGTAAAGTGGGCAAGAATACCGGGCAGTTGCACTTAACCTTAAAAAGACTTTTAGAAAAACGTCAGTGTAGGCGGAGCCGGATTATACCTTTCGTAGGCCCTAGGCATAGCCGTTTTTTAGCCCTCCCCTCCCTCCCCCACTCCTCCCCTCTTTTCAAAATACATTCTAAAATTTTCTTGCATATTTTTTTTAACATTTTTATTAGTATGGATTTTAATTTACAATGACTAAAAGGCGTAATTTACAATGACTAAATACAATAATTTACAATGACTAAATGACTAAAAAGCGTAAAGCTTACAGTGATTTGTACGATAATTTCGGTTTTTTGCTCACAATAATTTGTCAGAATCTGAGATTAAACTAAAAGCGCAAAATTTGGTGAAAATTTACTCATCCGATTTAGAGGAAAACTTTGTAGATGAATTTTTACTATTTTCAAATTTGTATGAGAATAAATCTGTACAAGAAATGTTGAAGGCTCAAATTAAAGATAAACTTGTGAATTCTTTTTCTAACGTTCACATTGCATTAAGAATATATTTGTCGATTCTTGGATCAAATGCAGAAGGAGAATAATCTTTCTCCAGGTTAAAATTGATAAAAAATTATTTGCGTTCAACAATGAATCAAGATCGTTTGGCATCGCTCGCACTTATGTCTATTGAATACGACATTTTGCGTAGTTTGAAATTCGATAGCATTATACAAGATTTCGTTGAATCAAAAAATCGCAAAAAAGTAATATATTAGATCATAAGATTCTGCAAAATAATTTATTACCGAAAAATATTATATTTTGATTTGTATCTTCATAATTTTGTGAAAAATACACTCGCTGTTTTTAAAGCTAAATTATTTTTGTCAACAATTTTTTTTCTCCCAAGTTTTTCGTAGGCCCCTGAATTTCGTAGGCCCTAGGCACGTGCCTAGTGTGCCTATAGGTTAATCCGGCCCTGAGTGTAGGACATACCGGACAGTGGTATACACACTGGATTTATTTTTATTATTAAAAATAATAGACATTATTGATGGTATTGGTTTGAGAATTTATTCAATATGGAAAGCACAATCTGAATAAAATGGGTTTTCATACGCATTCAAATTATTGTAATTATTACCTCTTTAACAGATTATCAGTAAATTGCTGTAACTATTTGAATGAATTTTCGTGTTTTTAACGTATCATTAAAAACAAGAAGAAAAAAAGCACAAACTTTTAATGATAGAAAAAATCGTTCTCTGAATTGAAGTTTAATGTGCAATATTTAACATATTTTACGTGGAATACAAAAATTTAAAAAAATTGCAAATGATTTAGAGTTTAATCGCATAAAATCCAGAAGCTGCTGCACAGCGCTAAATACAAATTTTAAATCGCACAGAATTTTTGAAATAAATCGGTGTTATACAGAGATTTTGATTGTATCCACCGCTATTGTGGATTATCTGATGGGGGAGTGAAACTTATTCAGTTTTAGATCGTTCGGTACTAAATTGTCTGTAATGTAAAGGCTATCGAAGCTCAATGACCCACTTAGTCGCTAACTGAATGCTGCAATAGCCCTTCACTTTCATTTAAATATTGATTCCAGAATTTTTGTAAAATAGATTGTGAAAAATTGCGCATATTGTTGATCGCATTTCAATTTTTTAGACAGAAAAAAATACAAAAGTAAAGCAAAATCTGGTAATTACTTTTGAGGAAAGTAGGATTTATTTGACTAATTAAAAGTACTTTTTCCAGTTGTCTTTCACAACCTCAAAATTTTTTCCGGGAAGCCAACAGATTACGAGGATTTTAATTTACTTCCTCCTCTTTTTTAATTTACCAGGATTTCATCAGATTTTTGTGCTTTTTTCTGGATTAGATATCAGTTTGCAACCCCAGCCTTAATTTTTAAAATGGAGTTAAAAAAAAAAAATACTCTTAGAATGAGGTTTACGGAAAAACATGAATAATAAGTCCGACGTAAATACATAAGAAAAGAAAGATAAGAAAAGATATATCAGCATTATTTGTGCTGAGATTTCTTGCAGCATTAAATTGGATTTTTAACAATTATATAAAATTAAAAAAAAAAAAGGAATATTTTTTAGACGAACATTTACTTTAAATTTTCAACAGAAAATTGGTTTTTTAATTCAACACAGTACAGGTCCCGCACCTTACTGATCGTAAAGATACGGTTTCCAGTAGAACACCGAAGTCAAGCATCACTGGCTGCGGTCTGTAAGCGGGTGGGTGACCACGTTAATCAGCCTGCGTAGGGACCGAGGGTGCGTGATATTGTTTCTCGTTAAATTATTCTAGCTTAGAGTGCTCGACTTCGCGCAGGTCGTTTGGATTACCAAAGCAGGGGAGCCATTACCTGTTCAGAGGATCAAAATCGAGATGGCATGTCTACGGATCATCCTAAGGGATGTTGTTGTAGTTGTAGTTCATTTACGTCGCACTAGAGCTTCCCAATGGGCCATTGGTGACGGTATTGGAACTATCCCTGAGGATGATCCGAAGACATGCCATCACAATTTTGATCCTCTGCAGAGGGGATGGCTCCCCTGCTTCGATATTCCAACTACATGCGAGCGAGGTCGAGCACTTTACTGTAGAACAGCTTAACCGGGACCAATACCGCACACCCTCGGTCCCTAAGCAGGCTGATCAAAGTGGTCACTCACCCGCTTACTGACAGCAGTTAGTGATGCTTGACTTCGGCCTTCTACCGAGAACCGTGTTTTTATGATTAGTCCATTGCGAAACAAATCTTTTGAAATATAGGGATGCATTTTTTTCGATTCACACAGTGGACTGATAGTTAAGACACGGTTCCCAGCAGATCACTGAAGTCAAGCATCACTGGCTGCGGTGAGTGTGAGGGTGGGTGACCACTTGATCGAGGGTGTGCGATATTGGTCCTCATTAAACTGCTCTATAGTAAAGTGCTCGACTTCAGGCGCAGGTCGTCAGGCTACCGAAGAGAGGGTGCCATCCCCTCTGCAGAGGATCTAAATTCTGATGGCATGTTATTGGATTATCCTCAGGGATGTTTCCCAGACCGTCGCCAATAGCCCATTGTGCAGCTCTAGTGAGACGTAAATAAATTCCAACAACTCAAACAGCATTTTTTTCGACTTAATTTCTTGAAGAGAGTTTCTGACTGTGGGGAAGAATAAACCACCACAATTTGGTTTCGCAAAATCATGTTTTCATTGGGGCATCCCTGGCCTAGCGGTATCGCCCACCAAACGCTATGCAAAGCGTGGAGGTAGCGGGTTCGAATCCCGCTGTTACCCGGAATATATCTTCGTGTTATCCTTCTCTGTATGTCCCGCAGTCGACTGATCAAGAAGACACGGTTCCCAGCAGATCACCGAAGTCAAGCATCACTGGCTACTGTCAGTGTGCGGGTGGGTGACCACTTGGATCAATCTGCGTAGGGACGAGGGGTGTGCGGTATTGGTTTCGTTAAACTGTTCTAATTCTAAACTGTTGACCGTCACCAATAGCCCATTGTACAGCTCTAGTGCGACGTAAATGAACTACAACACCAACTACAACAACCTTCTCTGTAGTGTGTTATCTGTACTTCTATTTGACAAAGGTTTATAGACCTAAATTGAGCACACAAGCTTGCAAACGTGTGTAATTCCAATAAACACTAAAGACGTTTTCATTGATAAACAGTCAGCACTGGGTTGCTACGAAAAATGAAGTTGTTTTGTGAGAACGAAATTAATGTGGTGTTCGTAACATGTTACTAGATTAAAAATTTGATGCGGATGTTAAACTTTGTGACAAGAATTTGAGAATTGTTGAAGAAATGTTTCCGATAAGAGTAACAGGAGGAATGAAGAGGTTTTTCAATGCACTGCTGTTAAAGAGAAAGAACAGGTAAAGATTTTAAACTTATATGTTTTGAGATAGGTACTGTTATTGTTCACAATATATTTCGGGAGTATTCAGAGAGAATGTGTTAATCGTGTGCAAGTTTTTGCTTTTATTTACTTTATCACTTGGTTTCACAAGTAATTTACTTTCTTTAAATACTTTAATGTCAAAAGTATTAACCTGTATTTCGAAAATTG